ATTTAATTTAATTTAATTTAAATAATTAAATTAAGTTGGAGAAGACTCCTAAGAATATTGTGGACAACCAAGAAAACAAACCAATGGATCACTGAACAAATTAACCCAGAGATCTCACTTGAGGCACAAATGACCAGGTTCAAATTATACTACTTTGGACACATTATGTAAAGATCCAGCTCTCTGGAAAAGGCTCTAATGCTGGGAAAGGTGGAAGGAAAGAGAAGAGGACGATCAGCAGCAAGATGGACTCAGTTACAGTGGCAATGAGTATACCATTGGGAGACTTGAAAGAACAGGTTAGGGATAGATCATCATGGAGAAGATCTATCCACGTGGTCGCTAGGAGTCAAAAACCACTTGATGGCACATTATCAATCAAAATTTAAATAATAAAGAATACAATATTATTAGACACAATAGTCTATCATCTTAAGATGAATACAAAGCCTTTTCGTATTGCCATATTCTTAGTTTGCTTACACTTAATAGGCAGTAAGCCCACTTGAACAGTCAGACTTGTTTCTGAGCTTATTTCATTCATGGACTGCAGTTAATCCAAACTGAACCTAACTTGTGAATATTATCTCTTTACAGGATTTAAATATCTGGCTGGTTTTATTTGATGTTCAACAGGGAATTTCAATTCCAATAATTTCTCAGCAAATTATTTTAACATTAAAGAGATACAGTAAGTAATTTTTAAAATAAAATGAAAATATTATAGGAAGCACAACTTTTCCTTCCATTTTTATATTTTTAAACACTGACTGCTTTTAAAATTCTACACACTCTAAAAGCTTTTAATGGCTTCCGATGTGGGTCATGGCTGACTGAAGAAGTCCCTGCGAACAAGCAGAGACGATGACTGCTGTGAAGAAAGAAAGGCTGGCAAGTAGACGGGTCCTTCCAAATTCTCCAGAGAAGGAGAGATCGGGAGACCGCCCACAAGTGCTCCAAATGGCAGTTCCTCACAAGGAGACCATAAAATAGCTGTCTCCCATGGGTTTAAGCACCAGGAGTTGAGGGAGACGACATCTTTGCTCTCAGCAACAGCGGAGCCTTTCATAAGGACACAAAGCCAGCCAAACTCACTTTCTAATCACTTTTGGAAATGTTCAATTTAACCACTTTATGGATACTAGTGACCTTCAAAACAATGAGTTTATTTTGACACCTGATAAGTTTTACCTTCTTCTTCTTCGGATTTAAGAAACTTTAAATAAAGTCTTAAAAATTTAAAATATACAATTAGCAAAAAGCAAAAAAAAAAAAAAGTATTTTGATTTAAGAAAGTTTTAAACAGGTTAGGAGGCCAGAGAGATTTGGAATATTGGTTATTTTTGCTGTAAGATTTGAAAAACAAGTATATAAATAAATAATATACTCATGGGAAATGACTGAAACAGAACTAAATCCATATTAGGAACTGAGGCTTGATGAAGGTTACAAATGGACACTAGAGGGAACTAAAGAAAAGAGTCAGAATGGCTAAGCCAGCTATAACTTTTTCTTATCATAAAGTGTTTTTTACATGGGCTGAAATATTAATAACTAATATTTCAGAAAGGATACAGATTTCAATCGATAAACTTTTAGAAGATGATTGGAAAAACTTAAAAAACCTTTACCTGACACAAACATTATAGAGTTTGAAGGCATGGAAGATAACAAAACTGAGATTACCAAAATGGGAATACAGTACAAAAGACAAATAAAAAAAAAAGGATTTGGACATAGAACAGCTGCGACAAGAAATTCTGGATGATGCTTCTTTATGGGATTTACAAAGTAGGCTGGTGAAAACTTTGAAGATTTCTTTTAAATACCAAAGAATGATGAAAGATCAAATCCTGCAATGCCATAGGAATGATTTAAAGGTCAAGACTGTGCAGAACAAAAAGAAGGAATATCAAGTTGGACTATTTGACCAGGAACAAACTATTTGTTTGATATTTCTGGTAACTCCTAATGGACTTTTTGCTGAACTACTGTGCATAGATAAAAGCTATGGGGAAAAGAGTTTTTTTATTTGTAACTTTAAAAGGGGGTGAAAAGTTAGTATATTAACTTATGCTCACGTGATGGTTTGAAGCCACTTCTTTATTATTGTCTTTGTTGTTTTTTTCTTTTCTCTTCTATTTTTTTTCTGCACTTTCTGCACTTTTTTTCTTCTAGTTTAGTTTGTATTAGTTTTTACTATGTTTATTAAAAATTTCAATAACATTATTTAAAAAGAGAGAGCTTTCAATGAAAGGGTACATAGACATAAACATTTATTTGTTTATTTAATTACACAAATGAGTGATCTTCCAGAAAAACATAGCCTATGGTAACTCACTAAACTATAAATTCTTATGCAATTACATTATTAACATTCTACTGGTGTTAGAGTATAAATTGGAAAGATAGAATACATTTTTAATAATAAACTAGTAATCATCAGATAGAATCATTCAGTTGGAAGACCTTAGAGGTTATCTAGCTGAACCCGCTGCTCAGTACAGGATCCACTAGTGCATGTCTGATAGATGACAATCCAACCTCTATTTGAAGGTCTCCTTATGCCTACCCTGAATGTATTTCCTTGTAGTTCTAACCCACTGGTTCTGGTTCTACCAACAGAGAATAGGTCCTCTTCATGTGACAGTCTTTCTGATATCTGAAGACCAAGGTCATATCTTCCCTCAGCCATGTCTTCTATAGGCTAAATGGTCCCAGATCATTTAACCATTCCTTTATATGGCTTGCTTTCCAGATCCCTCACAGTCTTTACAGCCCTCCTCTCAACTCCTCAAATGACAAAAGGAAATTTGACTTTTTTTTTTATTTGTGCTGCCCAGAAGTGGACATAAGTGCGAAGCATTCAAAGAATGCAGATGAACATTTGACAGAGCACCATACATAGAAAACAAATTAATTTTAGAAGGTGAATCCAGATGATGTTTGACAGAATGTCTTGTAATTCTGTTGTAATTGTCCTAGAATTGTAGGCACAGCATAAAATACAAAAAGCATACACCAGGCTTTTCTTCTTTAAAGATGAGAAATAATATTTTTAATTTGACATAACTGCTTTCTCCCTATTTCAATATATTTCATATATTCTTTTTAAAACTGAGATCAAAATAAGCTATCTATGAAGTTTTACATGCTTATACTGAATTAACATAGCAAAAAAAAAAATCTACGTCCCACATTTGTGGGATACACATGTCTTGATGGGTAAAAAGCATACTAAAAACTACATTACCTGGCATTCCCCCAATATGCTTCAATTACAGTACCCAGAATAATCTAACCACCTGGCATTGGAAAAAAGGTTCCTTTTACCTATGTCCTAGCATAAGAAAATAGTGTATTAAATTAAGTTCCCACATCAAGAGATCAGAACTCTGAAGCTACATGCATGTATGTAATCCACACTAACTTCACATAACATAACACAGTAAACACCACCTGCAATTCAATATCTCAGAAATCAAACAGCACACAAATCTGATGATTTTATGTTGAGAAATTTACATTCAAAGATATTTAATTTATTCTTGCTTATTGTCTCTTTTTCAGTGAATCCCATGATTTATTTCATGTTTATGAAATAAGATATGAGAGACTCAAGGAAGGCTAATCTAGAGAGCTACATATTTTAAAATGCTGATTCTACTGCTGTCGTTATTTAGATGGATTACTCAGACAGAGATATTTCTCCCCTTCAAAACTTTACTAGGGGATAGCTAGGGACGCGAGTTATATTGTTATGAACTACAACCAGGAAGCATATATTCTGGGTGAAACGACAGCGAATAGGTAGGCATAGTTAGACAGGGGGGGGAAATGTACCAAAACAGCAAAAATTTGAAATATCGCCTCCATATCCACACACGGCCACACACTTATGCATGCCTCAGCCAAATCGCCTTATTATAAAAAAAACAAACAAAAAATACTATCGCTACCGTTACATAAAGCTGAGTTCCTTTGTGGGGAATGCAGTAGGAGCTTTCGCCCCGCCCTACAATTAAGATTCATTAATTCCCGACTGAAAACGAACATCGACTCTCACAGCCCTATTCCGTCCCTTCTGGAAGGCTGGGGGAAAATGGGGTGGGGGGGAGAGACCCACACTGCCTCCGTTACCTCAGTGCTCTGATGTTTGAAAGTGTCCAAAAACAGAAGCTCCGTTGTTGTATCCGCCGCCATCTTGCGTCGGCGGAAGCACCGAACCTTTGATTACGAGCACTTCCGGAGCAAAAAAGGGCCGCGCACGTGCCTTGAAAGGCTTCGTTCGCTTCTTCCCTCCCCCGCCTTTTGTTTATATAACAAGAAAGACGCACATACCTGGAGGTTAAAAATCAGGAAGAGGGAACTCCTCCTGATTTTTAGGCACCACAAACTAACACGGTTCTGCTACAACATCTGGAGTTTGAGAGCGAAGTAGGGGAACGGACGGGACGGTGGGGGTGTTAGGACCGCCGTACAAGTCTTCCTTTATTTAGGAATCAATCTTAATTACTTGTCTAGGATTGGTTCCATGTGAGAATCCCGCTTAAGATTTTATAGACGACCTGTGACGAGTGGGGCTATATGTGTAGGCACGCGCACTGGCGAACAAGCCCCTATAATAAAGTGGCGTCGAGAAACCCGGCGGCCGATCAGGGTGCTCTCATTCAGGTACCCCTAAATGGGATTGTGTCCAAATGAGCAGCGAGAAGGGCTCTCGATTCCTGAATAAACGAGCCTCGGACCGAGAAAAGCCTCTCTTTAAATCCACGGAAGGAATCCGGTAGCACCTCTTCCGATCAACGCATTTTATGAAAAGGCACAAGGTTTCTGTCTGTATCTGATGAAGCGAGCTGTAGCTCACAAAAGTAGGTATCTTTGTAATAAAATGTATTAGTCGGAAAAGGCGCTATCAGGCTTCTTCCCATTTTTTTCTATCATTAACTAACGCGATTCTCCTACAGTGTTCGCTTCAGTCCCGAGGTCCGCTGGGGTTGCAGATAAACCTCAGGCACTGCGCTCAGCCGAGGCTGGACTATGAACGCCGCCGTCCGTCCGTCCGTCCGCCTCCCTCAGGGAATTTGGATCGGTGACGCGTTTCTGTTTCCTGAGCGCTTAATAGCTGGTAAATCCCGGTCTGCTGCCGTGCGTTTAGTCCGTGTTGCCCCGAATAGGATATATTATTACAGCTGCGTTCCATCTCGCTACGTAAAATCGGTAATTAAGGTCCCAGGACTTCTAACGCCGGCGGTAACATCTACGCAGTGAACCGTGGCAATAAGGAAGTCAAAGATATTTCCCCTTATATCAGCTTGCAGACGTTGGTGATCCGATGCGAGTCTCAACCTTGGCAACTTTAAGACGTGTGGACTTCAACTCCCAGAATTCCCCAGCCGGCATGACTGGAGACGAGTCTCCGTGATAGCTACGTATATTTCCTGGAACACATGCAGCAGTGGGCGAAGAGGGGCTTCCTTCTCTGTACAGTAAATGACTGCAACTATTCTGACTTATTGTGTCCCTTCCAAATCGAGTCCTACCTCAGTTCACAACATCTCTAAGTGTCCTGTAAGGAATTCGACATACACATTAAAGTGGGGTGCAATTTCTAAACTCTTAGAGCTGAATAGAAAGGACTTGAATTTTGTAAAACTAAGTCACTTGGAGCGCCTCCGAGAAAGAATGAAATAAAAATATAATACATAAAAAGGATTTCTGCGTTTAGATTTTCCCGTCCCACCTCATGCAGAGCTAGGCAAACTTGTTTATTTTTTTACTAGAACCAGGAACCTGTTGCAAACGAGAGGAAAAAAAACCGTTGCTAAACCGAACAGCCATTAAAATCTTCTGAATACAGGCGTTGCCTAGAAATGTCGAACCCCTACCAAATCTGAGCTCTGCTCTTAAACACAAAATGCAACCCGGGGTTATCCCCTCTGCCAGCCTTTCTCAACCCGGCACCTTCCAGATGTTGCGCTTCAGCTCTCAAAATTCCTAGCCAGGCCCGCTGCCAATGGCTGTACACCTGTTGGCGAGAGATTCGGAAGTTGAAGTCCAGCGCATCCGGAGGGCAACAGGTTGGGGAAGCATTCTTTTCTAGCTCTTTAATTCATTGTAATAATACCTGCTGCTAAAAAAGAAAAGGAAAGCAAGCGTGGGAGGCAGAAACCCTCATTAACTTATTAAAATCATTCCAGAAACCTACTCACACCTTCTGCGATCCCTACTTTACTCAGTACAGCTTTCTGCAATCTAGGCAACGCGCTTAGGATCTTAAGGGACAGCCCTATTATCTACCTACTCGTTTCTTACGCTACTCCTGTTAGACGCTACGCCTGCGTCCGGAGCTCTTCAGACCTGCAGCAACTGCCCCGGGACGCCCGGCTTTTCTAAGCGAGCAGGTCGGGTTCCTCGGCAGTGCGCAGACTCCTGCGGCGCCATTGAAAAGATTTTGATCGCTTTATGAATGGCAGACCGTCCACCGGGAGCGCTGCTTCTTTCAACCGAGGAGGGCGGAGCAAGCGAGAGTCTCCGCCCCTTCCAACCAGAGGCGCTGGAACGATTGGCTGCTTACTCCTGGCGGGGCGCGACTGTTTGCTCGGCCAAGAAAGAGGCGATTGGTGGGACCTGGAGCCTCCGAAACCTGATCGCCCAGCCACCTGCTTCGGCTCCGGTTGGGCTCTTCCTCGCCAAGTTTCGGCAGAGCGAGAGGGTGGTCAGATGGAGCGCCTAACTCTGGATGGATTGTTGCCTGGTTTGAGAGGAGGGCAGGCGCGGTGTCTCTTCCCTCCTTGGATAAAATCCGCGCCAACTCGGGAGCTCCTAAATCCGACGCTTGTTGGGGAGTCCTTAAAAAAACGTTTAATTCCACCGCCCTGAAGCCTTTGCCAAACGAAAACGCCAGTCAAACGGATTTGCTTGGAAGGCAGCCGTCCCCAAGCTGGGGCCCAGTTCCCATCATCCTCGCAGCCTCTCCAACCGCTAGAGAAGATCGAAGCTGTGGGCTGGTGCCTCTGCAGGCTGCTGGTTGGAGAAAGGCTGGCACCGCGTTTTTTTTTGCCCCCCCCCCCCCGCCGCTTCTACCTCTGGATCTACAAGCGGGAAGAGGATTCCGCTGCCTTCCCTGTTCACTTGGGGGGAGGAGCGGGCGACGCCTTGGACGAAGAAACCGATGGTAAATCCAGAACCTACCACGCAAAGATGCGCCCTCCAGGCGCTTCCTTTTCTTTCCCTGATTGTGCTGGTTCCTCTGTTGTTTCACGGCCGCTTCCACCGCCAACCCCCGCGCTTGCAAGGCTCTCCCCTCGCCCTCCACGTTGAACGCCATCCGAACTGTCAGCCGTCCCGCTCCTTAGCCGAATTTTCCTTGAAGCGCCAGCTAGCCAGGCAGGTCTGGAGCGAATCTGAGGTTCCTTTGGGAATTCAGCGTCTCGCCCAAATTCAGACAACTAAGTTTAACAATACGTACCTTCACTACGGGCAAGCTTGCTGCGCTCCAAGGTGTTTGCTCTGCTCTGCTGTCTTTCAGCTTTGCCAGGTGATTCTGTTAACATTGTATTTGAAAATAAGTGTGGCCCAAATGGGGTTGCCTGGTAGGAGTCCGTGCTACAGCTTAGACAGGATTAACAGAGCCATGATTTATTCAATTAACTCAGCTGGAATACAGCTCACTGAAAAGCAAATTAACCACATGGGCTGTATTCACACAACACATAAGGTTAAAACGTGGTTGGCTAGCTTATGATTCAGTGAATCAGCTAGGCAGATTCAGAAGCCTGCAGGTAGTTAAATTCAGTCCATAGTTATTCAGAAGGAAGGCCTGCTGAGATGAATGGCACTCATACCTCAAGAAGGATGAGCTTAAGAAACTGCAGCCAAGTCCCATGTGTGTTTATTCCAAAGTAAGTTCTACTAGATTCACTGGGACTTGTTGTGTATCAAATGTGCAGTTTGTTAAAACTGCTGGATACAGGGCCACTGCTTGGCATAGAACTCCCATCCACTCCACTTCTCAATCTTATGTGTTGTG